GCGCTCTCGCCCGTTCGTGAACTGCAGCGGAAACCTTCGATCTCGTGCCCTCCCCTACTCCTGGGCGAAGTGTGCGGCCCTCGCGGAGGCGGGGCCGGCCGGGAGCCGGGCTGGGGGCTCGCGGGCCGTGCCCTGGCCTTGCCGAGCCTCAGCCCCCCAAAGTGGAGCCAGCCGTCCCGCCCCTGTCTGCTCCCGGGGTGGGAGAAAACCAGAGCAGAGAGGAGGCTGGACCGAGCCCGGAGGCCCGCCCCGGGGGAGGGCAGGGAGGTGCGGAAGCCCAGGCTCGGGATGCTGCTGAGGGCAGGCTGTGGAGGGAGGCCCAGGAGTTGGTTGAAGCTGAAGCTGGGGGGTGGTGGGGGACGGGACGGGGGGGGGGGCGCGGCACCCTGTTTGGGGCTACCCTGCCGAGGGTCTCCCCCGCGCACTTCTGCACACGCGATTACAGCGTGTGAACCCCTCCAGTCCCAGGCCTCCGTTTCCTGTCCCTTAGCCCAGCACCACGAACCTTCACGGGCTCGAGAATTAAGCAGGTGGGACCAGAGGTTTATTTTGAGTCAGGTGGGGGTACAGGGCGCGGCCCGGGAACTGGGTACCATCAGATCCCAAGTGCGGGGGGGGGGAGGGGGTTAGGTCCGCTACTGACAGGCCTGGCCCATGACGGTGGCTGACTGGTCTCTGGGCCTCCTGGGGGCACGCCACACCTGGGGAGGGGCACCCCGGTTGAGCAAAGGCCACCCCCTCCCAGCCCATCCTAAGCCTCCTCCCCATCATGTGCGCCAGGGAGAGGGTGCGCCCAAGCCCAGACCCATGTCCTCGAGAGCTGTCAGGCTTGGGGACCCGCTTGGTTATGGAGCACGCGGGGCCACAGGTGACTCGCTGCTGCCATCCAGGCGCCACTGAACTGTGAGCGCTGACGTCACCTGCCCGAGAGTGCCTCACTTTTCTCCTCTCTAAATCGGGGATTATAACACTAACCCAAAAGTTGTTTCTAGGCGAACTTGAGGTAGTGTGGGTGAACCGGGCGCCACACTGCCTGGCCCAGGGACAGCGCCAAGCGCCCTTATCAGCCCTCCCTCTTCCAGTGCTCGGCAGCCCAC